CCGCAGCCTGGGGGTGCTCCTGGATGCCAGTCTAACTCTGGAAGCCCAGGTGGACTCGGTGGCCAGGGGTGCCTTCCTTCAGCTATGGAAATTGTACCTGCTATGGCCCTACCTGGATGAGCGGAGTCTCATGACAGTTACACACGCACTGGTAACATCTCGTATAGATTACTGCAATGCACTCTACGTGGGGCTGCCTTTGAAGATGGTCCGACGACTGCAACTGGTCCAGAATTGAGCTGCGCAGCTGGTGAGTGGTGGGGCTGCTAGGGGACACACTGGCTACCAGTTGCTGCCCGGGCCCAATTCAAGGTGCTTGTTTTGACATATAAAGCCCTAAACGGCTTGGGCCCTGGATACCTGCCGGACCACCTCCTTCCATATGAACCTACCTGGTAGTTTTGATGTAGCCAAGGGGCCCTTTTCAAAGAGCCATCCCTCAAGGAGATAAGAGGGATGGCTTGTAGACAAAGGGCCTTTTCGGCAGCTGCCCTCAGATTATGGAACACCGTCCTGAGGGAGAATTGTCTGGCGCCAACACTGATGATATTTCAGCGCCAGGTCAAAACCTTCCTGTTCCAGAAGGCTTTTAATTGAAATAATATCAACTGTGGGTCCTGATGGCAACTTTTAGAGTATATATTTTAATTGCATTTTAATTGTTTTATCTTTTTTACTGTAGTTAAATTGCTGTAAGCCGCCCAGAGGCCTTTGGGTAGTGTGGGTGGCATATAAGTTAAATAAATAAATGACATATTTGACTGTTGCATTTATTCCTAAAACATTTTTCAAAACTGTTATTTTTCTGCAGTCTGTTATGGAAAGCTACAGTTGACCTCCCTAGGGGAGAAGATATTGACTATCGATATTTTCGAGGGATTTTTTTAGAGCCTCAGGTATGTATAATTTAACAAGCACCAGTATAATGTGTTGACTAATTCTAGGATAAGCTCTTGGTGTTATGGTGTTTGGCAACAATTTAAGCCATAGTCAGTTGGTTCATTTTATTCATGTCTCCCAATAACAAAACTGTGTTTAGCTCCAGTTGTAAGTTTCTACATAGGAAGCATTTGCCCAAGCATGAGCATCTGAAAATTTAGCTTACCGTACAAACTGGCAAACTGTAGCTGACTTCCTAGCCAAATGCATGCAGATCAAAATACACATGTTTGCAAATGAATTATGCAGTTCCATATCTCATGGTTTTTCTGCCTAGCTGTATTCTGAATAAGAAAAAATGTAAACCATGAAGAATATCGAGGTTAAATACTGTAGTACATTTGCTTATTTTTTGTTGGTGCTAACCAGAACTAAATGCAAACATTTTAAACATGATGCAGGAAATTAAGGCACTGGCAACATAGGTTTTCACTAGTAGTACATATAGATATGTATGCATGTCACTGTTGTGCAGGACACACTAGCATTAGATAAAGATATGTGGATTTGGAATGGCAAGAATCCCCAGAGGTAGTTTTCTGATACATTCTGGCTATCTCTTGTAAGTTTTAAATATCTGAGCTGTGGAAGAAAAAACAAGTATGATCTAGTGTTTAAAATATATACTGTATGCTAGATCTTCTGTAGTAAGACAAGTTCCCTTATAATACATGCAAACTTTACAGTATGTATTGGTGAGTGTGTTTCCTTTGAGTAGGTGCTCTGTATCGTGCACGCTATAAGTACCGTGTGATGCAGAGGCTTCTGTGGTAAGTATGAATTTTATGGAATAGCAGAGTAGAGACATATGTAAAGATCCCACATGGATGGCCACCTTGTGTCTAGTTACCAGCAGAAGTTAAAATTGAACAGTGGGTGGAAAGGCTGTACTGAATTGAACACTGCAATGTTTCAAAGAGAGGATACTGTGAAGCTGAAAGCAGGAATGATGTAAGAGTGGAATGTGGAATAGAATGAGTGACTCAGTAAATGTAAAATCGAACGTTTCTGTGGCATTGAATTGATAATGAAAGGTCAGAACTTTTGTTAAATGGCTCTTTCTGTTGCATATTTCTGTTTTCAGCAGTTTCACTTAACCTTGATTGCTTTTACTGACTGGAATGTTTCATAGTCCTTAGCTTTATTATAGTTGAGAAAACTCTTTGAGTTAAAATAAAAGCCAAAGGAGGGTTTTTAAGAGATAAAAAAGCATGTCATGGTTATAAATATATTCACAACCTTAGTTGCAAAATCTGACTAAGAGGTGATGTACACTGATTAGCTTGAAGTTGAGTCTGATTGATATAAATGTACCTTTTCATAAATGTTAGTGTGTATAAAATGCAATTATTTAATGTTTATTTAATTATAGTACTGTAGTTCAATGCATTCCAATGGGGGGGGAATTCACCAAAAATTAACGAAGACTCAGAACAAAGACAAATTAAGTTTGCAAAGGTTTCACAAGGTGCACTAACGATTCCAAGCATTTTAAACTGTTTGTGAACATTTTAAGACACTTGAAAAATAGCGAAAACAGACCTGTCAAAACCATTGAAATGCATTGAAACCTATTAAATGCATTCCAATGGGGGAACCGCGTTTCGCTTAGCGATGTTTCCTATGGCAATTTTCGATTAAGGATGGTAATCCGTTCCCATTGGAAAGGATTATCCAGTTTTCAATGCATTCCTATGGGAAATGGTGTTTTGCTTAGCGATGTTTTCCCATAGCGATGGTTTTTTTGGAACCAGTTAACATCGCTGAGTGAGGCACCACTGTATTTTAGAGGTAAAACAGCATTTAAATTGTTTCTGTAGGAGTCATTTTGCTTTCCCCATTTTATCTACCTGTGGCAACAGTTTGTTAACTTCAGACTTCGCTTTCTGTTGTTAATTGTCTGTTTGTAGAAATGTCTTGCTTATAATCCTCCGTTTGAACGGACCAGTAACAAAAATAAGTGCCTCCATAATAGTAGCATCTATAGGTATTCACTAGAAACGTTAAGTCATCCCATTCAGAAAACTCCTTGCACGTGATTTTCAAATGATTTTAATTTAAAATGTGTATGCCATCACTCCTGCTATGCTACTAAGTAGCAAGTATTCAGATATAGCAATGCTGTATTACCATTTGGAAATGCGTCTTGCACTTTAAAATGGTTTTATATGACTATGGGACTGTTGCTCAAGCACTTAATTTATGAAACTGCACAAGTGCTGTGCTTAATCAGACTAATCTATATACCCTGAATTTGTGGAACCTAAGCAGATTCTTTTATTGAGTAATTTGTTCCAAATCTCAGAACAGGTACCCATGTCCATGTGTCTCTTAAGTTGTACATTGATTTAAAATCCCCATATATATAAATGTTTTAAAATCTAGACAGTAGAAGGGTATCTGTGGATAAGTAATGACAATAATTATCTGAAATGAAGCCACTGTTATCAGTCAGGCTTATGATCAAGCAGATTCATAGAGGATTGCAGTTGTGAGGAATAATCCTGTTGAGGTGGGGAGATCTTGTAGAAGAAACAGTTGCCTTTTCCTGCACCTCACTGGCTTGGTGCAGCAAAGGTTTGGTAGAATAGGAGTGGTTTTTCTTACTTTTTGCTGCAGTCAGTGGGAAGGAAGAGACGTTCAAAATGCATAATGACGGTTTCCTGGACTATATGCGGGGGAAGGATTCTAACGCTAGACATACAGTGGGGTCTCGACTTACAAACGACCCAACTTACGAACCCGCCCTATAGGGGAAATAAGGACTCGACATACGAACTTCCCTCGAGTTACGGACAGGAAAAAAAGTGCCCCTCCCTCCCCTTAGAGGCTTCTGGAGGGGGAAAAAGGGTCAGAAACTTACAAATAAATAAAAGAAAGTCACTTACCAGGCCTTGGTAGCCCCCAAACAGCAGGAAAAAGAGCAGGAAACAGCTAAAAGCCGACACCCAGAAGGGAGCCTGGCAGCCATTTTGTGATTTTCCCCCACTCCTGCACCATCCTCTCCCCGCCTATCAGCTGATGGGCTGGCTCTGAAGAGGCTTGGGGAGACTTGCTCAGCACCTAAAAAGCCTGCCTGCGTGTCTTTGTGCTGAAAAAATCAGCACAACATGATTTAAAATTGGCTTTGTTGAAAAAAAGATTTCTAAAGTGCTTTGCAAACTGTTCCCTGCCTTCCTCCTCGTTTCCTGAACCTAAGGGAAAAAAAGAAAAAATATCCCCCTCTAGTGGCAGAAGGCGAAATAGCAGCTTCCCATTAGTTTCTATGGACGGAAAAGAGCAAATACAGATTAAATAGTTTTCAATGCATTTCTATGGGAAATGCAGATTCGACCTAAGAACTTTTCAACTTACAAACTGCCTTCCAATACGGATTAAGTTCGTAAGTCGAGACCCCGCTGTATCATTCACCAGTGTTCATTCTCTCTGTAGTCAGAGCAGCATTTGCTGTCACATCCAGTAGCATCTAGCTGGCCTTTGCCAGCACTGTAATTAATTTTAACCCAAGTTCCTAAATATTTTGCACTGGTAGATTCTTGACGGGTTTTCAGTGATTATATATACTTTATATATATTTTGAGAGGAATCATGTTTAGCAACTGCTGATATGCAGAGGTTATCTGCAGTCAGTCTAGTCTCTGGGCTGTTGCCTTTTTACAATAACTTATATTTTATGCAGATGATCTCTGTTGATGCTGCTCTAATATGTATATAGACATGGACCTATCGAAGAATCATGGACATACCATAAGGAATCTTGTGACTATTTTTGAAGGAATCAAGAGTTCATTTCTGGAGGCCTCAACTAAAACCAGCTTTATGTGTTCACAAAGCGTAGTACATTTTTGCTCTTACTATCTGCACCATTAGGTGCTTTGGGAGTGTTAGGGCTCTGGTGGTGAAAGGAGAATGAGATGCCTCACATACCTTATGTCAGCTATATTTTGGAATGATTTAGAAGATTACAGCTAAGAATTTATGGATGTGTGTAGGAATTATGGTGAAGGAGGACTTTTCTTGAATTGGTAAGAAACTGAGAACTTCCAAAATGAACTTCCTTATCACCGTTCCTCTTAAACTTTGGACCTCTTGCTTTTGCTGAGCCTTTAAAAAAATGTGTTGGATCAAAATACCCGTAAAGCTGATCCATGAATGCTTTTTCAGGAGTGTACATAGTGTTGTGATGCTAAGTTCCATAGGTATTCTCATTCTTAGGAAACTTTGTATCAGCAAGAAAATTCATGTTCAGGAGTGCAGCGTAAGATTTTAAAGGAGATGCCTCCCAAGTGCATAAAAACCTCTCCTATATGAGGAGAGCACATTTCAACCTTTTTTTCTCCAGTTGAGATTCAAGGATGGGTTTATTGCTGGCTTCGGACTGGATGGGATTGCAGAAACCTCAAGATTTTACAATGTAGGCTTTGTGCTTTTTAAAGAAATCTTGAACCAATCTGATAGGTGACTAGAAAGTTATAACAGTGAATTAAAATCCCAGATAAGGGGAAGATTTCTTGCAGGGTTTTTTAAAATGGCTTAATAGGAAATAACACTATACTAATATAAACTGTTGACTAAAGATGGGGCATTCGTACTCGTATACGAATACCCCATTTCTACTGTTGACTGTTGTGATTTTCTAAAAAGTATGATGTCCAAAGTATGGTTTGTAACACTTACTAGTGTTACAAATCTGTTAACGCAACCTAAAGTCCTTGGATGGAGGATGATTAGAATTTCTAAAAAGTTAAGCCCTGTTTACGCAACATAGTTAATCTGTAAAATGGGGTATATGTAAGTGCAATTGTAACTATTGTCTGTTGAGAGAAGTGAAGAGTACTTTAAGTAAAGTAAAACATGGAGTTCCATATGTTCAGCCTAGCCTCTGAATATGGTATACATTCTAAGTTCCAGGGCTAGGATGGATGTGTAGATGTTGGGTGTAGGGCAATGGGCTGCTATCCTATTCCTCCCCCCCCTTTTCAATATATGGGGATACGTCATATGCATAAAGTTTTACTCTTGAGATATCAAGATATATCATAGTCTCTTAGTGGCTTCAGTAGTTATGATATAAGTGATATGAATCAAGGCCAATTTTTGAACATCAGAGGTTGTTGAAATAAATTAGACTTACAAAGAATTGTCAGTGGTATCACAGGTAAAAATCAGATTTAACAAAAATTATTGCAGACGTTTAACTTTTAAATTACAGACTATCGATGGTCCATGCCAAGTCATAATTCACAAGTGGGAGACTCATCTACCACCACGATCAATAACCCCTTTAGGTATGGGCACCAAGTGCATCTGTTTGAAGCATATGCATAAGATTACTAATACATTACAAAATGGTTTAGTGGGGTTGATGATATTTTGTAGGATTAACGTTAATACCACACTGCTACATCAGCATCTTTCTTCTAGCACAGCAGGAGCATTTTGAATATGAATTACATTGTCATGGATTTGAACATGTAAAATTCTTTTAAACTTCACTTTTATCAGGATCCACACATTTTGTCTGTCTAAATTTGGGAGGGGGTTGCTTCTGATTTCATACTGAGCTGTGGGGTGCTGTCATGGATGAACACCAGTTCTCACCTTAAACTGAGGTTTAAGAGCCAATTGGTTTTTTGTGTTTTTTCTTTTAAGAAAAGTTTCACTTCATTAGCAAGGTATCATTTTTCTACATATTTTCGAAACACTGTGCTAAGTGCATGAACATATGATATACCTTTTTGTTAATTTGGGATAAGCAGTATAAGAGAGAAAACAGGATAAACTAATGTCCTTTCTCCCGCAAGATGAATTGGGTGGATAAAGTGGTGGAAATTAATTGCTATCTGTTCCTGTGGAACATCAGAACTTGAAACTATTGTGACTAGCCTTGTTCCATTCAGCATTTCCAATCTTTTAAAATAATAAATGGAAAGTTGTTTTTTCTCTGATTGGCAATTCTGTGCACACCTACCTGGGAGAAAGTCCCATTGAATTGAGCAGGACTTTCTTTTGAGTAGGCATGCATAGGATTGTAGTGCATAGCTTGATTTCTTGCTTTGCTATTGTGGATGAGAATTGTGCATGTCCTGAGTGATTTTCTGCTCCTTAGTCCATTATTTTTTAGAACAGTCAGGGAAGCATGTCCTTAAGTGATCACTGAGCTCTTCTAGCTGTCTGTTAGTCTAGATTCTGTCCGCTGCATACACGACACTACTGCACTTTAAATTCAAAAGTCAATGCCTTCATTTGTGAAATAGTTAGTGAAATGCTGCTCAGTTGCCTTTAAACACAAAATGTTAGTTTCTCATTATCAAATATGTGTTCTTATTCCCATTTTTAGCTGCCAGTGACTCTTCGTAAGTTCATTTAGACAGTTTAGGGCCTAATTAAATGGAAAGTTCAATTTCTTTGAAAACTTATCCCAGTGACATCGTCCAAAAAACATCCAACATCTTAACTGAGTGGTCTCTCTGATCTCAGCTTGGGTGGTTTATTGCAATGGTCCCCAACCTTGGGCCTCCAGATATTCTTGGACTGCAACTCCCATAAGCCTTCACCACCACCTCTGCTAGCCAGGATTTCTGGGAGTTGAAGTCCAAGAACATCTGGAGGCCCAAGGTTGGGGACCACTTGTTTATTGGATATATTAATGTCCCCATGATACTATTTCAAACATAGTTTTTTTGGTAATAGCAAAGAAAATGTAGTATCCTTTTGCTGCTGCATGTGGAAGAGCAGCCTTAATGATTAAAAATGGCACTTCAGATCAATCAGTGGTTCCCAACCTTGGGTCCCCAAATGTTCTTGGAATAAAACTCCCAGAAGCTTTCACTACTAGCTCTGCTGGCCAGGATTTCTGGGAGTAATTCGACCAAGAACATTTGGATACCAAAGGTTGAGAAGCACTGTTTCAAATGGAGAAGAGGAAATCTTAAACCTTTGATATTAGAACTTATTTTAAACGCAGGATAGTTTTGTTTGATAACTTTGTCCAATGTTTCAAGATATCTAATGTAACATGATATGAAGATAAAAAAATATGAATATTGTATTAGGTAATGAAGGAAAAGAATAAGTATCTTTATTTGTAATTACTCTAGTTTATATCTGAACTAGAAATATGTGGCAAAACAGATTTCTTGGTTGCTTAACAAATAGTTTACAGTCCATTCCATTTTGTTAGTAACATAGTATTAAACTTCTAGAGCAACATCTTGGCATCATTTATTGTCAGGATGGTGCCATGTCCTTTTCACAGTTTCGGTAGCTTGCAAGACATCCCTCCTGCTATTAATGTCTGAAGACAGTGTTGTTTTTAACTCAAGAAAACAAACTTAGAGTTATCTTGCCATTGCAAATAAACATGCTTATTCTTGCCTTCCTGTTTAAATGTCTTAGCTGTAGTTGTTAGAAGTGGTAAAGCTGCACAGTTACCAACAGTGCAAATTTCTACATACCTGTTCAGAAGTAAGTCCCATTATGTTCAAAGAGACTTGCTGTCAGGCAAGTGTATGTAGGATGGCAGCCTTAAGTAGCAGTGAATGCGTAAGCCAGTAAATGTAAACTCAGATTACAATTTGTCCCTTAAATTCCAGAGGATATCTTCATTGATGATGGCACCTTCGGGATCTTTGGTGAGTAGGTGATGAGGTGTCAGATATTTTTATATATATAGGATATAAAAGCATTTGTGTTAAGTTATGTTGGTGGTGAAAGGGTATTTCGAAATATTTACAAATGAGGGTGTAAGGTTACAGTGGTGCCTCGCAAGATGATTATAATTCGTTCTGTGAGAAGCACTGTCTTGCGAAAAAATTGTCTTGCGAGGTTCCCTACGGGAACCTCCCAAGACAAATGAAATTTATTTGTCTTGCAAGGCATCGGTCTCGGGGAAAAAAAACATCTTGCGAAGCGTGGTCATAGAAAAAAAGTCTTGTGAGGCACCATAGTGATCACAAAAACCAATCGTCTTGCGGGTTTTTCGTCCCGCGAGGCAATCGTCTTGCAAGGCACCACTGTATATTTAAGCTATCCAATATCAAGACTTGATGATCCCACACAATGGCCTGAAGTTGTTGTGTCATACAACTGTTTAGGATAAGGGTGGAAATTATAAGATGTGCATGTTCATGCCACTGTATTCCACTTCTCCCTTCAACAACATTGGGGTTGGGGTGGCAGACCTCTGTGCAATTCAAAATCCATGTATAACTCTATGTCTTCCAAAACATAACTACAAAACATAATCAGTTAATTCACACAAACCAGTTCTCCCTATCAGGGTTGTCTCCATAGCATGTACTGAGTAATGAAGTCTCTTATGCCCCCCTGATCTAGAGGCTGAATTAAAGATGTTGTGTTTGGGGCAAGTGAACCACTTTGACATCTTCAGTGTTATACTCATGGGTTTCTGGAGGCCAGGGTCACCGTATTTATTGACTGTTTATTTGTTTATGGACTATTTATTTATTTATTGGAATCTTTATTTATTTGGTTGGTTGATTGATTGAATAACCAAAACCATGCTGTTTGTTTGTTTGATTGATTGGTTGGTTGGTTGGTTGATTGATTGACTGATTAAAAAAAGATCTATGTATGACCCAAACCATGCTGTTCAAGCCCAATCAATTCAAGGGAGAAGTGTATTGTTTACCATTGATTACACTTACAGTACTTGTATCCCATTTTCAAAATACAAATAGTTCCAAAGCAGATTGTAAGTAACAAGGATACATTATAAAATCACAATAAGTATTTTTTTAAAATATGGCATAAGGATCTTTTCCACATGGCAATTGATGGTAGATAACCCAGTAGGGGAAGAGGGGAATGGCGCAGTTGGAGTAGCCTCTGAGGTAATTTTTGCCAGCCTGCACTACCTCCCTGTGTGGGGATATGTACTAGAAGGTAGCTAGCAGGAAAAAAAAAACCCTGCGGAGTGGGTGGAGGGGCTGTTCCTCTAAAACAAGCTCTCGGGTGGTCTTGGCCAGCTTACCTCTCTCTGTGTGCGTCCTGGAATGCTTCCTGTATGTCAGATAGTGGTAACCTCTCTTCCCACTCCCCACCCAGCAGCAAGGGAGGAGGACATAGCCACCCAGTCTCTCGAAATCATTCCCACCTAGGTTGAATGTTGGATTTATTCACTTCTGATCATGTAATTATGGCTATAATTCTTACCAAACAATTGCCCTGTGAGTCTTCCACCTCATTAGCAGTACTGAAGCAAATTAATTCATGTTAGTCTACAGTGTGAATATGAACTTTCCACTCTGCTATAATAATGGCTTTGAATATTTGGTCCATTGTACTGTATAGGGGTGGAGGTGGGGAAACACATTTTACATAAGATCTCAGTGCTTGAGTTACTGGAGGCTTGTTTCCACACATGATTTATTTACTTATTTATTTAAAACTGGAAGCCAAAGAAGCTTACAACAATGCCGTGAAATTCAAATACACAAAAGTAATGCATATCAAAATAGAATTAAAAGCATTCAGTTGTAAAATACAAATAAAATTAAAATACTATAAAATTACTGAAATTAGTAATACCCGGTTCCCCAAATAAAAGAACCAGCTCACCAGCTAAAATCCAGTGGTTTGAGCTTTTAATTGCTGATGAACAGCCTGAATAAAAAGGTCTTTTCCTTGCCAGCAGAGAAGGCAAACCTAGCTTCTCATAGCATAAAATACCAGAGGCTTGGAGCAGCCACAAGGGAGGCCCTTTGTTGAGTTCCCACCAAACGGAGTCTCTTGGGGATGAGAAAAAATAATGAGAAAGACCTCTGTCAGATCTCAAAGCCCAGACAGGATTATATAGGAGAACATGGTATTCTAGATCAGTGGTTCTTAACGTGGGTGGGACTTTAAAGGTCATGACCAGCAGTTTGAATTGTGACTGGTAGTTGCTGAAGTTGTTATAGGAAGGAATTTGTAAGTCCTTCAAAACTGACCCTGGCCAGCAATGTAGCTGCACTGTTTTTGGACCATCTGAAAATTTCAAAACCCTCTTCAGAAGGAACCCCACGCAGAGCATGTTATCAGGAATCCAATTAAGATGTAACCAAGGCACGGGTCATTCAGACATCTTCCAGGAATGGGCACAACTCTTAACTGTGGAGATGCTGTCCTGGTCAATGCCAAGACCTGAGCATCCACACTCAGGGATGAATCTAGAGGTACACCCAGTCTGTGAACCTGAGTCTTTAGGGGAGTGAAAATCCATCCAACATAGGTTGAATCCCTATTTCCTGAGCTGCCTTTCGACTGACCACGAAACCTCTCTCTTGTCTGGATTGAGACTTCAACTTCTTTACCCTCATCCAGCCCATTACTAATCCAGTCCTGGTTTAAAACCAAAAACTGTATCCTTGACTTTAGATGAAAGAAGAGATAGAGTTGGATGCCATCAGCCCCATTACTAATCCGGTCCTGGTTTAAAACCAAAAAACTGTCTCCTTGACTTTAGAATGAAAGGAGAGATAGAGTTGGATGCCATCAGCATGTTGGTGGTACTGATCTCCAGAATGCCAGACAACCTCTGCCAACAGTGCTATGCATATATTGCATAATGAGGAGGACAAGAGAGAGCCCTGAAGGACACCATAACCCTAATGGCTAAGGAGTCCAACAGGAGTCCTCAACTATCACCTTCTGAGATTGGCACTCTAAGAAGTGTGTAGGATAGTGCCACGAAGTTCCAGCCCACAGTCAGTTGTATTGAAAGCTACTGAAAGGTCCAACAGAAGTAATAAGAACACACTCCTCTATCCAGTTCCCAGCATAAGTCATCCACCAGGGTGACCCAAGCTGTTTCCGTCCATTTCCAGGCCTGAAGCCAAACTGAAATGGATTTAGATAACCTGCCTCATTCAGAAACCCCTGGAGCTGGGAGGCAACCAGTTCAGTGAAATGACAGCCTCTTGAGCAATGGATTTAAAAAACAAGCATTTGGTAAAGTTGGAGGTGACGTTTCTGCATTTTAATACAGCCTTCCCTCTAATTCAAGCACCGTCATGTATAGCTAATTTCAGCAATATATTTGCTTTGGAGTAGATGCTATTAATTTATCTGTCAGGTGCTGCTAATGATTCTGGGAATGGGGCTACTAATGTACGCACATGCATGCATGTATTCATCCACTTCTTACCTTGGTCTCTTGTTTGCTGTAAGATTCTGCCTTTTCTGTAACTTTTTCTCCACTCTATAAAGGTTGGTGTGCATGCACCACCACTTTCACCTTGATGACATTTCACTCAGCAGACCCATTTCTTACGGAAACCATTGAAGGCAAATCTGTCTCAAGTCACATCTGTGTTGCCTATAAATATTTCTGTAGATATTACTGGGTACATGTCAACAGCCGCCATCTTACAATGACACCTCGCTTTTAGGATATGATGTTGGAGCTAGATATCTTTGCCAGAGTTCTGTTGACATTCCAGGTTTAGAAAAATGATTTCATAAATCTGTACTTTTAATTTTTTTTTATTTTGTCAGATAATGTGGAGTGCGTTGATTCCGGATGGCTGACATGTCAGACAGAAATCAGACTACGACTGCATTTTTCTGAAAAACCTCCTGTATCAATAACTAAGAGAAAATTTAAAAAATCTAGGTTTAGGTAGGTTCAGACTGATTGTTCAGTGTTTTATGTGAATCCTGCCTTTAATAATATAGTGGCATTCTAATTTATATTACGTAGTGTAATTCTGAAAATGTTTAAGCTCTCAAGTTTTTAAGAGCCCTTAAAGCCTGAATCCTTGCTTTTCTATGGAGGGTTAACTGTTGGAAAAATTAACGGGATTAATTGTTACCTTTCATGGTTTTTCGGGCTCTTTGGCCGTGTTCTGAAGGTTGTTCTTTCTAACGTTTCGCCAGTCTCTGTGGCTGGCATCTTCAGAG